ATGGTAAACTGAAAAATGAGCATTCCATTTTGTAAATTAATCTCTTAACATTTTATATATCAGGGCATCTCAGAGATTTAATACCTGCTGACCTCACCTGACCTGTGTTTTATTTATTTATTTATTGTTGCTATAGCAAAAAGCCCTCCCATCCTCCACTATTTTCCAAGCCCACCAAAGAGGAATGAACAAAGAGGAGTTTCTAGGCCCTGAGCCCGTCTGGATGGACTGTGAAGCTCTCTGCTTAATGGACCATCAAACTCTTCTATGATGGGACAACATAGTAGTTCAGGAGTTTAAAACACAAGGAGTGACATCCAGATGTCACTGTCAGAGAAAACGTATGGTAGGGCAAGGGAAAAAAGGGTCTCCATCTTGACTCTGACTTGAGCACAGCTTTTATGCCCGGGAAATGGACTGCCTGAATGGGCACTGAGCAAGCTCCCCAAACAGCAGCAGGTCTACAGTTCCCATGCCCTTAACTGTGACCAGGACAAGTCACTCTGATCAGGACTGCCTTTCCCACTGCCACAGTGGGAGTCTCATCTGTGTATGCCCCAATGTCTGCACTCACTATTCACCTGGTCACCGTGTAGGATACACCTCAGCAACAACCCAGGATGCTTGTAAGCTCCAAGGAACCACTGGACCCCTAAGGGGTGGGGAACAGTCAAGGCTGTGGACTTCAGTGAAGGAATAGGGTACATCTTAAAGTAGGATTAGAAGAGACTCGTTTCTGCTGTTACCTTTGGTCAGAGATCTCAGTTTCTAAGCTCCTCATCACTCTTGGGTGAACAGGTTAAATCAGGTTTCGGGTTTTGTAAGGTGATCCCTAAATCCTGGAACTCCTGAGGAAAGTAAAGGCACACTTCACTACCTTTACTATCTCAACTGCAGCAGTTAGAAACAGAGAAAGAATCAGATTTATGAAGGATTAGGGAGCAGCCATGGATAAGGTTTGGACTATCCTACTGGTTATGTTGGTGAGTAACAGAAAGCAGCTATGTCTCAGAGAGGATGTCAAAGTGGCCAAATGAAATTAACCTAGAGATTTCAGCTTCACCAATGGCTCTGTCATCTCCCTCTCTGCCCCCTTCAATACATGGGTCTAATTTTACCTGGTACTAATGTCCAACCAATCAGTAGATCCCCCAGTAGAGGCAGGGGCTCACCATCCTCTTTATGTATAATTCTGCTAGGTCTGCCTTCCATTGCATGGGTCATGGAGCGCCTGCACTATGGGCATGGACCCCTGCCTACTTATTCTGGGGTGGAGCCTGAAAGTCTTATCAGTCTCACCTGCTTGGAAGTGTCTAACCTGATGAGCTGGTACACTTTAAGCACACACAGCAATGCCTTCTTTCCCTTCACAGTCCTGAAACAGTTATAGAGTAGAGCCATTCTACTGTAGACCAGATTCAAAGTCTGATCATTTCGAACTTTAGTGATGGGAAGTGCTATTTCTCCACATTTGGTTCTGTAAATGTGGTCAAAGGGCAGAGAAACAGAGCTGGGGACTCTCATGAATTACTACATGTGCTTGTGTACAAGTGCATTTACTGGGAATGAGAACAGGCATTCTGAATGAGTCTGTATCAAGCCTATCTTCCATTTGCTAATCTGCTAGAATGTAACACAGCTTCCAGGAGAAAGTCAAAAGGTTTGCTGGGGATACAGGGTACAATCAGCTGGGCTAAGACCACTCATAGAAGGTTAGGAGCAATTCCTGCAAACTGAAAGGATTTGTACAAATGACGACCACCCAAAGCTCCTTGCTCTGTATGTGGATTTTCCAGCAATGACAACAACAAAAATAACCAAACAGCTCCTGTATGCAGCAAGCCACTTCTTTGCAATTGAATTTGGAGTTGATAATTTGATTTCATTTCAGTTCTTGTCTAGCTCCCTTTTAGTTACCAAGATCAAAGGAGACATTCTTACAGACTGACGGTAGGTGCAATTTATAAACTGTAAACATACCAAGTTAAAATAATTTATCAGAAAAACAGCAAACAGCTAGTTTCTAGCATGACAATAGATTTAGTCTAGCAGGTGGCAATCTATCTGTACTCCTGAACCTGTCCAATTTTTCAGAAGACCTCATAAGGTAGGTAATCTGCAGGCAAACACAGAGTGAAAAGCTATTGCTGGATGATTCATATATTCAGTACTTTTCCTGACTTACTACAGCACCCTCGCCGTCCAGCATACATATACCAGTGTCTCCTGGGATACAAGGCCCATAAAGGGAGATGTAGCTTGAAAGTGGCTTGTACTAACA